GACAGAGCAAGATTCCTTCTCAAAAAAAAAAAAAAAAAAAAAGAGAAAGAAAAAGGAGAAGAGAAGAGACGAGACGAGACTTAGGTATGGTGGCTCATGCCTGAAATACCAGCACTTTAGGAGGCCAAGGTGGGCAGATCGCTTGTACCCAAGAGCTCGAGACCAGCCTGGGCAACATGGCAAAACTGCTTCTCTACAAAAGAACTTTTAAAAAATTAGCCGAGCATGGTGATGCACATCTATAGTTCCACCTACTCAGGAAGCTGAGGTCTGAGATTGCTTGAGCCTACACAACAGTGAGCCAGGATCGTGCCACTGCACTTCAGTTGGGGCGACAGAGTGAGACCCCATATCCAAAAAAGGAAAGAGAAAAAAAAAAAAGAAAATCTTAACAAAAAAGGGCTGGGTTTGGTGGCTAATGCCTATAATCCCAGTACTCTTGGAGGCAAGGTGGGTGGATCGTTTGGGTCCAGGAGTTTGAGACCAGCCTGGATGGCATGGCAAAACCCCGTCTCTACCAAAACCAAACCAAAACAAACAAAAACAAAAAAAGCACGTTCACAAAATTAGCCAGTTGTGGCGGCATGGGTTATGGTCCCATCTACTCTGGAGGCTGAGGGAGGAGCATTACCTGAGCCCAGGAGGTCAAGGCTGCAGTGAACTATGATCATGCCACTCTACCCCAGCCTGGGTGACACAGCAAGACCTTGTCTCAAAAACAAAGAAAGAAAAAGAAGTCAATTTTGATTTTTTTATATGTTGAGAGATGAGAGATAGGGGTCTAGTTCCATTCTTCTGCTAGTCAGTTTTCCAAGCACAATATTGTAGAGACTATCCCTTCCCCCCTTGTATGTTCTTGACACTTCTGTTGGAAATGAGCTGGCCAAAAAAGCACGAACATGTATCTGGGTTCTCAATTCTGTTCCTTTAGATGTGTCTAGTTTTTATGCCAGTATCATGTTGATTTGGTTACTATAGTTTTGTAGTATATTTTAAAGTCAGGTAGTGTGATCGCTCCAGCTTTTGTTCTTTTTCCTCATATTGCTTGGCTATTTGAGTCTTTTGTGGTTCCATGTAAAAGTTAGGATTGTTTTTTCTATTTCCGTGAAGAATGTCATTTGTATTTTGATAGAAATTGCATTTAGTCTGTAAATTACTTTGAGTAGTACTGTCATTTTAAACAAGATTAATTTTGGCCAGGCATGGTGGCTCATGCCTGTAATCCCAGCACTTTGGGAGGCCAAGGCGGGCAGATCACCTGAGGTCAGGAGTTTGAGACCAGCCCGACCAACATGGAGAAACCGTGTCTCTACTAAAAATACAAAATTAGGCAGGTGTGGTGGCGCATGCCTGTTAATACCGGCTACTCGGAAGGCTGATGCAGGAGAATTGCTTGAGCACGGGAGGTGGAGGCTGCAGTGAGCCGAGATCACGCCATTGCACTCTAGTCTGGGCAACAAGAGCCAAATGCCGTCTCAAAAAAGAAAAAAAAAAAAAAGAAAAAAAATCTTCCATTTCATGAGCATGGAATATCTTTCCATTTTTTGTGTGTTGTCTTTAATTTCTTCCATCAGCGTTTTAAAGTATTCCTTGTAATAGATCTTTCACTTATTTGGTTAAGTTGATTATTAGGTATTTAATATTCTTTGTAGCTATTGTAAATAAGATTGCTTTCTTGATTTTTCAGATTGTTTGCTGTTGGCATATGTAAATGCTACTGAGTTGTGTATGTTGATTTTGTATACTGAATTCATTTATCTGTTCTAACAGTTTTTCAGTGGAGTCTTTAGCTTCTTCTGTGATAATGTCATCTGCGAACAAGGCTAATTTGACTTCTTTCTTGCTAAATTTGGATGGCCTTTTTTTCTCTTGACTAATTGCTCTGGCCAGGACTTCCAGTAATTCGTTGAACAAAGGTGGCAGAAGTGGCTTCCATATCTTATTCCAGATATCAGATGAAAGCCTTTCAATTTACCCCATTCAGCACAATGTTCAGTGTGGGTGTGTCACATATGGCCTTTATTATTTTGAGCTATGCTCCCTCTATACCTATTTTGTTGAGGGTATTTATCATAAAGTAATGTTGAATTTTATTGAATGTTTTTTAAGTACCTATTAAAATGACTATACGGTTTTTATTCTTGGTTCTATTCATATGAATCATGTTTATTGATATATGATTTATGAACCATCCCTGCATCCCTGGGATGAATTCCATTTTATCATGATGAATGATATTTTTAATGTGTTATTGAAATCAGATTGCTAGTATTTTTGAGGATTTTTGCATTTACGTTCATCAGTGATATGCCCCTATCCCTCACCCTCTAAAAAAATAAATCAAAATGGATTAAGACCTAGTGGATGAAACTACTAGCAGAAAATGCTAGGATAATGCTTAAAGACGTTGATCTGAGCCAAGTTTGTTTGTGTTAACATCCCAAAAGTACAGGCAACCAAAGCAAAAATAGAAAAATACGATTACATTAAGCTAAAATGGTTCTGCACAGCTAAGAGAGCAATAAAAAAAGCGAAGAGACAACCCACAGAATGAGAAAATATTTGCAAATTATCCATCTGTCAACAGATTAATAACCAGAACATAGAAGGAGTTCAAACAACTCAACTGCAAAATAACAAAACAAAACAAAAAAAACACAAGACAGACAAAAAAATCAAAACCACACACAAAAATTCCAATTTAAAAGTGGGAAAAGAGGCCAGGTGCGGTGGCTCACGCCTGTAATCCCAGCACTTAGGGAGGCTGAGGCAGGCAGATCATGAGGTCAAGAGATTGAGACTATCCTGGCCAACATGGTGAAACCCAGTCTCTACTAAAAAACAAAAATCAGCTGGGCATGGTGGCGTGCGCCTGTAGTCCTAGCTACTTGGGAGCCTGAGGCAGGAGAACTGCTTGATCCCGGGAGGCGAAGATTGCAGTGAGCTGAGATGGCGCCACTGCACTCCAGTTGGCGACAAAGCAAGACTCCAGCAAAAAAGAAAAAAAAAAAAAAAAAAAGAAAAAACAAAAGGCTTTTTATCAACAAGACAGGGAATAACGGATGCCGGCGAGGATGTGGAGAAAAGTGAACCCTTGTACACTGTTGTTGGAAATGTAAATTAGCATAGCCAATAAGGAAAACTGTATGGAGGTTCCTCAAAAAACTAAAACTAGATCTACCATATGATCTAGCAATTCCACTACCGGGTATATATTTTTTAAAAAGGAAATTAACATATTGAAGAGATATCTGCACTCCTATGTTTATTGTGTCACTATTCACAATAGCCAATATGGAATCAACCTAAGTGCACATCAACGAATGAAGAAAGAAAATGTGGTATATATGTACAATGAAAAATTATTCAGCCATAAAAAAAGAACGAAATCCTGCCATTTGTAGCAATGCGTATGGAAATGGAGCTCATTACGTTAAATAAAACAAGCCAAGAACAAAAAAACAAATATTGCATATTCTCAGTCATATGTGGGAGCTAAAAATGTGAATCTCATGATGACACAGTAGACTGGTAGTTAAAAGAAGCTGGGAAGGGTGAGAAAGGGGGAATGAAGAGAGGTTAATTAATATAGAACGACTAGTGTTTTAGAGATTGGGAGAGTGACTGTAGTTTAATAGCTAGAAGATAATTTGAATGTTTCTAGCATAAAGATGAATATTTACGGTGATGTATATCACCAATACACTCATTTGATCTTCACAAACTGTATAAATGTATTAAATTATCAGACATAGCTCAAATACATGTACATTTATTATGTTATGGGCTGACATGTGTTTCTCCCAAATTCATATTAATTCTAATCCCTGGTATCTCAGAATGTGACTGTATTTAGAGACAGGGCCTTTGAAAAGATAATCAAGGTAAAATAAAACTGAATGGGTGGGGCCTAATCCAATAGGACTGTTGTTCTTATAAAAGATTAGGACATAGACATGCTGGGTGCACAGAGAAAAGACCAGGAGAGGACACAGTGCGAAGGAAGCCATCTGCAAATGAAGGTGAGAGGCTTCAGGAAAAAAATTAAAAATTGCTGATACCTTGAATCTCAGCCTTACACCTCCAGAACTGTGAGAAAATAAATTCCTTTTGTTCAGGTTAGGCACTTTGGGGTATTTTGTTATGAAAGCCCTAGCAAATGACAATCAGCATTTCAATACAGCCACATCAGTGATTCACCTAAGGTGAAACAAACAGTGAAGCTTGGGCACTGGAACTAATCTCTGAATTCTAAGTTGTTTGGAAAAAGAACCAACAAGTGCTGCACAGTAACTCAATATGGAAAGATATATAGCTTATCTACTGGAAAAATGATTGGTGCAAGAGAAAAGCATTACCAGAAGTTTGAAAAGTCTGAAATCATGAGAATATGTAATAAAAAATCAATAGTTCTTAACTAACGTCTATGATGCCAGGCTGCTTACCTTTATATACTATCTCAAATTAACATAATCATCCACCACGATTTTATGCCCACATTAAAGTTGAAAATAAATGAAATTCAAAGACTTTATCCAAAGCCACAAAGTAGACTTATGTTTTGAAACCAAATTTGTCTAAAGATAATCCTGTCCTCTTTCCAATGTATCATTCTGTTCTCACACATTAAATGAACAGTGGTATAGTATGTACTACAGAATATTGTAGGGCCATTAAAATGCTTAAGCAAACTGAGAGGTTGGTCAACAGCCACACAGATCTAAAATATTCCTTTTTCTATCTTACTCTTTGTTCTAAGTTTTCTTTAATGAGAACGCGTAAGCTAAAAATAAACACAAGAACTCTTTAAAAACAGAAAGCATTAAAGTCAAAGATCATAAAATGAGAAGGCTTTCCCTTCAACTGGAATGATGTACACCCCTGTGATTAAAAAGAGACATACGGAGGTTTTTAGGTATCTTTAGGAGCCCAGAATTTAAATTAACAACAATTGTAGTTTCAGATTATCTGTTTTTGAGTGAATATACTTCTTGGCTTACCTTATGGCTTCTGAATCAATGTGCACAGGTGCGATTCTTTCCAACAGAAATTTGACCATCTCTAGAAAAGGATTTGTTGGTTGCTTAGGATTTGCAAGTTTCCGGGCTATTTCTCTCTATAGAAGAAAAAGAGTTTTACCAAAAATGTGATTTGCTTTCATATTTTTGAAAAGAAAAATGACTGTAGGCCAAAAGAAGGAACTGAAATATTCAAAACCAGCATAAGTGGTTAAGAATTGTCTGCTCTAGACCCTGACTAAAAATTTTACACCCACCGAGCAATGACTGCAAAATCTGGACAGCAGAGAAAAGAAGTGTATGATGTGGTTTCTGAGTGAACACAGCCTTGCCTCACAATTCTTTGATGAAAATTATTGGCTAATATAGGAACCTTTTTTTTTTTTTGAGACGGAGTCTAACTCTGTCACCAGGCTAGAGTGCAGTGGCACGATCTCCGCTCACTGCAACCTCCACCTTCTGGGTTCAAACGATTCTCCTGCCCCAGGCTCCAGAGTAGCTGGGACTACAGGCACAGGCCACCATGCCCAGCTAATTTTTGTATTTTTGTAGAGATGGGGTTTCGTCATGTTGGCCAGGCTGGTCTCGAACTCCCAGCCTCAGGTGATCCACTCACCTCGGCCTCCCCAAGTGCTGGGATTACAGGTGTGAGCCACTCGCGCCTGGCCCGAATCCGTATTTTTTAAAAAACAAATTAACTGGCCAGGCGCGGGTGGCTCACGCCGGCAATCCCAGCACTTGGGGAGGCCGAGGTGGGTGGATCAACCTAAGGTCGGGAGTTTGAGATCACCCTGACCAACATGGAGAAACCCCGTCTCTATTAAAAATACAAAATTAGCCGGGCTTGGTGGCGCATGCCTGTAATCCTAGCTACCTGGGAGGCTGAGGCAGGAGAATTGCTTGAAACTGGGAGGCAGAGGCTGCGGTGAGCCAAGATCGTGCCATTGCACTACGGCCTGGGCAACAAGAGCAAAACTCCGTCTCAAAAGAAACAAAAACAAAAACATATTCATACATATATAAATACTTGCAAAATTTTTCAGTTCTGGAAGAACCTAGATGGAGGATAAATGAGAACCCTGCACACCCCTACAATTTTTTTAATAAGTTAGACATATAATTATGGAAGGCTAATAGATGACCCCAATAATAGAAGTAACTCTCAGCCAGGCGCACTGGCTCACGCATGTAATCAAAACACTTTGGGAGGCCAAGGCAGGTGGATTGCCTGAGCTCAAGAGTTTGAGACCAGTCTGGGAAACACGGCAAAATCCTGTTTCTACCAAAAAGTACAAAAAATTAGCCAGGCGTGATGGTGCATGCCTGTGGTCCCAGCTACTCAGGAGGCTGAGGTGGAGGGGGGAATCACTCGAGCCTGGTAGGCGGAAGTTGCAGTGACCACCTGAGATTGCACAGCTGCACAGATCCTCTCTCAAAAAACGAAAACAAACAAAAAAGTAACTATCCATTTAAGCTCAAAGATTATGGGATTAGGCCAGGCGCAGTGGCTCATGCCTGTAATCCCAACACTTTGGGAGGCCGAGGTGGACCTCATTTGAGGTCAGGAGTTGAGACCAGCCTGACCAAGATGGTGAAACCCCATCTCTACTAAAAATATTAAAAAATAAGTCAGGCGTGGTGATACATGCCTGTAGCCCTAGCTACTCAGGAGACTGAGGCAGCACAATCGCTTGAACTCAGGAGGTGGAGGCTGCAGTGAGCCGAGATCACGCCACTGCACTCCAGCCCGAGCAACAGAGTGAGACTCTGTGTCAAAAAAAAAAAAAAAAAAAGCAAAGATTATGGTATTAGATCAAAAGTTCCTACCAAGAAAGACATTCTTGCTGGAAGTTTCTGAAGATGAGGACTTAGTAATTATAGAGACTGACTCCTCCAAAGACAGAGTTAAATTTACAATGTGCTGGACCCTTGGGAAAGATATTTAAGAACAAGGCTTTTAATCATAAAAATGCACAAATAGGTATCTTAGCTGAGGAGATAATGAACATTAAATACGCATTCTAAACTACAAAGCAGTAACAAATTATATCATTCTATTTATAAGATTTTCTCATAAAAATATATTTTAGTGAAATGTTCAGAACAAAGGGAGAAAAGATTTCTATTAAACTCAGTTATACCTTGATATGAATTACAAAGGTTACATTAAATTCGATATCATAGATATTTGTTAATAGTCTAAGTCCAAAGGACTGAGATTCTGAAGGAAATTTCTTAGTCATTAGCAGATGTCTAACTCATTGTAACAAGCTGTAATTAGCTGAGCAATATTTCAGCATTAGAGAAAAGAAAAATATTCAGTGCTTAATCCCTTACATACTTTCCTTTAAACTACAGGTTCACATTTTAAATCTGAATTTAAATACTATACTGTCTTTAGAAATCTTACGGGAGAAAATATTCCTAAAAGGGGATTATTTTCCCCTCTAGTACAAAGTTAAGTTGCTTTAACCTAAGAAAAATATGTTACAGATTATCTAACAATATGACTACTGGAAAACTGCTAGGCCAACTGTATTACCAGTGCCTTAGAAAAGGTCACTAATAAGTGAAAAAAGTAGGCATTAGAAAAGACAATTATGAGATGTAAACATAGAATTTTTAAAGTGCTGAGGGAAAAAGTAGAATGCACAATCATTTAAATACAGTAACAGAAATACACCTACATATATAAAAACTAATACTAGATAAACAGCATTTAAAGTGACATTTTTGTATTCTCACACAACAATCTTACACTGAGGTAATCACTCATAACAATATCTTTTAGGAAAGGACAGCTGGCAGAAAGTTTCAAAACAAAACCAAATAGTTGTCTGTATGCATGACAATGTTTTGGAAATTTCTGATAAAATCTACAGTAGCAATGTATATTACTCCTACTAGTATATATTTATTAATTGCATACATTGTTTAAGTACTCTTAAGAAATATCAAAAAGATTAAGCTCCATTTTCAATATGCTTATAATTTATCAATCCAATTTTTAAAATAAAATATTGAGAGAGCTTAAAAAACACTGTGTCCATATATTACCCCTTTCCTCTTTGTACATCTTTTCCTTTTGACAATTAGAAAAAAAATTGTTTTAGGTTGGTCACGTGGTTCATGCCTGTAATCCCAGCACTTTGGGAGGCCGAAACAGGCAGATGGCCTGAGGTCAGGAGTTCGAGACAGCCTGGCCAACATGGTGAAGCCCCATCTCTACTAAAAATACAAAAAAATTAGCCGAGCGTGGTGTCGAGTGCCTATAATCCCAGCTACTCAAGAGGCTGAGGCAGGAAAATTGCTTGAACCTGGGAGGCAGAGGTTGCAGTGAGCTGATATCACACCACTGCACTCCAGCCTGGGCAACATGAGTGAGACTGTCCCAAAAAAAAAAAAAAAAAAAGGCAACTTCCAAAGTTTTAACTTTCATATTACAGTGAGATGTGCATTATACTCATTGAATTATAAAAAGATAGGTGGCGGGCGCCTGTAGTCCCAGCTACTCGGGAGGCTGAGGCAGGAGAATGGCGTGAACCTGGGAGGCGGAGCTTGCAGTGAGCCGAGATCGGGCCACTGCACTCCAGCCTGGGTGACAGAGCGAGACTCCGTCTCAAAAAAAAAAAAAAAAAAAGATATAACTAAACAGAAACAGGGCTGAGGCAGGAGGATCACCTGAGCTCAGCAGTATGAGACCAACCTGGGCAACATAGTGAGATCTCTTCTCTTAAAAAAAAAAAAAAAAAAAATCAAAAAATTAGTTGGGCATGGTGGCACACATCTGTAGTCCCAACTACTTTGGAGGCTGAGGTAGGAGGATCACTTGAGCCCAGGAGGTCAAGGCTGTAATGAGCTATGATCACAACACTGCACTCCACAGACTGGGCAACACAGTGAGATGCTGTCTAAACACACACAACACACACACACAAAGAGAGAGATAGAGAGCGGGCATTCTCAGATTTGTCTCCTCTTTCATTTCTTCTCTACTTCCTCCAAGTGATATAACTGTGCTAATATATAGAACCAGGCTTGAATCTCAACACTTCTGAACACAACTGCTAAGACGCTATCTTCTTCCCTAACGCATCTCCTCTGATATCCAGTCAGTCAAACTAGAAATATAGCAGTCATTCTTCACACAATGGTCTACTTCCTACTCACCCTTTAAGACTCAACTTAAGAGTCACTTATTCTGGAAGAAGCCATTCCTGGACCTATTTCCACCCCTGCCTGGAAGGAGTAATGCTCCTTTATTTTACCAAAGCACACAATTCAATGGAAATATTTGTCAGTCTCTGTCACTTATTCTGCAAGCTCCATGAGAAACCATGAACTATGAAATGTATTAAATCATGCAGTGAATTATAACAGTGTGTGCTTGACCAAGGAAGAAGATATTTGGACTTCTGAAGATACAATGCATGTGCAGGTTATTAGGTAGAGGAGAGTTTTTAAAACTGTAGTCCATAAAACACTCATGTTGAGATTTGGTTAACAGATGGAGAGATTCATGATCCTACATTATACCTATTTTAAAGATCCCTACTCTTTGTAAGGGGTAAGACTTGTAAGAATGACCATTTATTGAAACCCTGCAGGCAGTGCAAGGGGGCCCTGCATTAGGCCACATATAAAATTTCATTTTACATTATATTTATAGGTGAAAAAAATGAATAAGGAGGCTTGAAAATACTGAGTAAATTACCAAAGGTCATATTGGTAGTAAACTGTATAGCTGATATTCAAACTGAGGACTGTTTCATTAAATGCTGAATAAACAAGCTTTCTGGAAAATATTAAAATTTGGGGACCATTCTCATAGAGGGGGCAATGGAGTATAAACTAGGATGCACCACTGAAGCTATGGCAAATATGTGGTCGTTCTCTAGGGTCAAGGTGTAGAAACTTAAAACCTGAATTCTAAAGGGAAAGTAAATCTATACATCACATTTCAATTCCACCTCTCATTCTCATTCATTATATCCCCCACCCCACACACAAATACACATGTCTGTTGATAATCTTTGCTCAAAGTATTTTTGCTAAGATTTTTCAGAAATGGAACTTGGACAAAGAGGGAAGAAAATATTAGATGTCTATGCCTACTAACTCTCTTACCAAGTAATATCTACCTCTTGAGAAGTGAGATATGATTGTAATTTATGAAAATAAGGAGGTAGTGATAAATACACACTAGGGTACAGAGAAGGAACTCTCAAGGATGGAATGCAAGTTACACAGAATGAGAGAAACTAAATTTTATATTTGCATATTTTTCTTTATTCTTCTACATCAGAAGAGGAATGGGGATAATAGAGGAAATATGTAAATAATATTCAGTAGCCCATGGAGGAAAGGAAAAACTCATGGAGGTACTCTAACAGAGGTTGTTTTCATATGTGTCTAAGGGGTATTCTAAGTCCCACTTTACATATGAGAGCATATAAATAACATACTCAAGTCACACAATGCTAATATATGAGCTAGAAAAGAAGGTATCATGAACCCATGCTCTTACCACTGCAAGTGCAGTATTCATTTCTACCTCACTGGCTCCTAATGTCAAGAGCACTGATTGGCTATGCTGTGTGGCTGTTGCATTCACAGTGTTGGGATTACAAGAGGGAGCCACCGCACCCAGCCTTTTCAAGTTATTTCATTGTCTGATCTAATTATAATAGATAGTACTCTGAAACTAGACTTCTAAATGCCAAAGTCGTCAATGAAACTTTTAAGCGTTTTCAGCAAGTTACTCAGCTCAGAAGTACAAAACTTGTTGGGCATGGTGGATCATGCCTATAATCCCAATACGTTGGGAGGCCAAGGTGGGTAGGATCACTTGAGTCCAGGAGTTCAAGACCAGCCTGGGCAACATGGTGAAATCTCGTCTCTACTAAAAATACAAAAATTAGTCAGGCGTGATGGTGCATGCCTGTAGTCCCAGCTACTTGGGAGGCTGAGGCAGGAAGATCATTTGAGCCCTAGATGCAGAGGTTACAGCGAGCTGAGATTGTGTCATTGCACTCCAGCCTGGGTGACAGAGCAAGACCCTATCTCAAAAAAATAAAAAAGTAAATAGAATTTTAAAAAGAAGTGCAAATGCAAAGGTTGAGGCAGTCTGGGAATTTGGCACAACCACATTCCTAGCCCTGAGAGACAAGCCCACTCTTTCCTCTTCCCTAAATTGGTTTTCCTCCCCATGTCCTCCTAATTATTGGTATCTGTAATGGTATTCAGATCTCTATGCTGAATAAAAGATACATGTTCTAGGCAGCTAGACCTCTTTGCATATACATCTAATATAGTCTGTATCCTTTATAAGTTATTTTAAAACTATCAACTCTAATCCTTTCTAGAACAAAGTTAGACCTATGTAATTGAAATTAGGTTTCTCTTATTTGTCTCTATAAGCCTGGTCCCAAGCATAGTACTTTACGTTTATGCGTAATATTCTAAGAAGGATTATTTATTTAAATCCAATAGGGCAGGGCGGGGCCCTTATACGGAGAAATATATACCCTCCCCCCGCCCACAAACACAAAGAATTATCCATCACTCAACGGTGGAGACAGATTTTGAGAAATGTGTTGTTAAGGCAATTTCATCATGTGAGCATCAGAGTACATGCACACAAACCTAAACAGTATAGTATACTACTTCTATACTACAAAACTGTACAGCATGTTACTATGCTAAATACCATAGGGAACTGTAACACAGTAGTATTTGTGTAAACATTATCTAAACATAGGGTAAAAATATGAAAGATAAAAACAATATAAACCATTTAATAAAAATGCCACATAAAAGATAAAAAACAGTACACCTACATAAAGAGCACTTATCATAAATGAAGCTTACAGTACTGGAAGTTGATCTGAGTAAGTCAGTGAGTAAGTGGTGAGTGAATATGAAGAAATAGGACATTACTGTACACTACTGTAGACTTTATAAACACTGTACACTTAGGCAGCACTAAATTTATTTAAACTTGTTTTCTTTCTTCAATGATGAATTATCCCAGCTTTTTTGTAATATTTTTACTAAACCTCAAGGGCTTTTTTTTTTTGGAGACGGAGTCTTGCTCTGTCGCCCAGGCTGGAGCACAGTGTCACTATCTCAGCTCACCGCAAGCTCCACCTCCTGAGTTAACGCGATTCTCCTGCCTCAGCCTCCAGAGTAGCTGGGACTACAGGTACCCGCTACCATGCCCGGCTAATTTTTTTTTTTTTTTTGTATTTTTAGTAGAGACAGGGTCTCACTGTGTTAGCCAAGATGGTCTCGATCTCCTGACCTCATGATCCGCCAACCTTGGCCTCCCAAAGTGCTGGGATTACAGGTGTGAGCCACTGCGCCTGGCCGGGCTTTTTTTTAACTTTTAAAAAACTTTTTGGAGACAGGATCTTGTTCTGTCACCCAGGCTGGAATGCAGCGATGTATTCCATTTAAGCTCACTGTAGGCTTAAACTCCTGGGCTCAAGTGACCCTCCTGTCTCGGCCTCTGAAGTAGTCATGACTATAGGTGTGCACCACCACATGCAGCTATTTTTCTTTAATGTTTTGTAGAGGCTGGGGTCTTGATATATTGCCCAGGTTGGTCTCAAACTCCTGGCTTCAAGTGATCCTCCTGCCTAGGCCTCCCAAAGTGCTGGGATTACAGGTGTGAGCCAATGTATCGGTCTTTTTTTTCTTTTTCAGCTTTTTGACTCTTTTGTAGTAACACTTAGCTTAAAACACACATTGTACAGCTGTACACAAAATGTTTTCTTTCCTTATATCCTTATCCTACTAGCTTCTATTAAAAATTCTTTTGGCTGCATGTGGTGGCTGACAACTGTAATCCCAATACTTTGTGGGGCTGAGGCAGGCAGGTTTCTTGAGCTCAGGAGTTCCAGACTAGCCTGGACAACACGGAGAAACCTGTCTCTAAAAAAAATAAAAAATTAGCTGGGCATGGTGGCATGTGCCTATAGTCCCAGCTACTCAGAAGACTGAAGTGGGAGGATCACATGAACCCAGGAGGCTGAGGATGCAGTGGGCCTTATTACATCACTGCACTCCAGTCTGGGTGACAGAGCAAAACCCTGTTTAAAAAAAAAAAAAAAAAAAAAAAAAAAAAAAAAAAAGTTTTAAAACTTTTTTTGGTGCAAAACTAAGATACAACCACACACAGTAGCCTAGGCCTACACAAGGGCAGGATCACCAAGATGTCACTAGGTAATAGGAATCCTTCAGTTCTGTTATAATCTTTTTTTTGTTTGTTTGTTTTTTAAACTTTAAGTTATGGGATACATGTGCAGAATGTGCAGGTTTGTTACATAGGTATACATGTGTCATAGTGGTTTGCTACACCCATCAATCCGAGCTCTGTTATAATCTTATGGGACTCCCAAAATATATGTGGTCTTATCTTTGGCCAAAACGTTGCTATGCAGTATATGATTTTAGATACATCAAGAATCTTTTGCCTGGGTGTGTGGCTCATGCCTGTAATCCCAGCACTTTGGGAGGCTGAGGTGGGTGGATCACCTGAGGTCAGGAGTTCAAGATCAGCCTGGCCAACATGGTGAAAACCCGTCTCTACTAATAATACAAAAATTAGCCAGATGTGATGGCACATGCCTGTAATCTCAGCTACTCGGAAGGCTGAGGCACGAGAATCATCTGAACCCAGGAGGTGGAGGTTGCAGTGAGGTGAGAAGATCACTTGAAGGAGTTTGAGACCACCCTGGGCAACATATATTTTTTCCTTTTCTTGAGACAGTCTCATTCTGTCACCCAGGCTGGTGTGCAATGGCATGATCTCAGCTCACTGTAACCTCCACCTTCTGAGTTCAAGCGATTCTCCTGTCTCAGCCTCATGAGTAGCTCAGATTACAGGCATGTACCACCACAACTGGCAAATTTCTATATTTTTAGTAGAGATAGGGTTTCACCATGTTATCCAGGCTGGTCTCGAACTCCCAACCTCAGGTGATCCACCCACCTCAGCCTCCCAAAGTGCTGGGATTACAGGTGTGAGCCAACGTGCACGGCCTACAAAAAATTTAGAAACTTAGCTGTGTGTGGATGCGTGTGCCAATAGTTCTAGCTATTCAGAAGGCTGGGGTACAGGATCACATGAGCACAGGAGTTTAAGGCTGCAGTGAACTATGACTGTGCCACTGTACTCCAGCCTGGGTGACAAAGCAAGACTATCTTAGGGGGGAAAAAAAAAGGCTGAATAGATGAATGGATAAATTTTCCCTCCTGATAGCTTTAAGAATATTGGTTTTATATGAAATGAGTTCAAGAGTAGAATGAAGACAAAAGTCTAGATAGGAATTTACTTTATCTATAAATGAAATCAGATATATGGCAATGTTACTACTACTAATTTATTGACGATTATTTCCATTCTAATACATGAAAGAAGAAAATGCACATGCACGCAAGTATTCAGAAAATACTTATCGACTACTCAATGAATGTCTACTAAATACAAAATACGTTATCTTGTAAAATTCCTAAGACCAATCTCCCTGGCTTATAGTTCTTTAGTTATTTTCCTGGAATGTGGCTGGAGAGTGAATGGTAAATAGAGAATTAACTTGACAACAGATATACTTCAAAGTAATTCAGAGCTCACGATATTCTTAAATTTATACAAATCACTGTATGTAAAACAGGCTTTAATGACATACATATTTCTGAAAGTAAAGCTAGAGAAAAAGCGTAAAGTATGATTTACTAACCACACAAATATCTGCTTGTTTGCAAGAACAAGTTGGGCTAATTAATAACTCCAATTGAGACCGAAGTTTCTCATCATCGCCGAGAACCTGGTTAAACTTCTTCACAAAATCTTGTGCTTTCCCGGGGTCAGGCAAATTCTCTATAAAATTAAAGAGAATCAATATTAAAGAAGGAAAAAAAAAAAACTATTCTACTAAGCTAAAGAACAGGTGCCATAAAAATATTGTGGGGCCACTAAAAGAAAATCAGCCTAACTAGTTCTTAGAAATAAAATTCAGATAAAGATTTTTTTTTTTTACTTTACATTAAATCAATAGTCCCACTGGGTAAATAATTTGTTTGTCTGTATTGACATTTATTACACGTTTAGTGAGTAAATAAACATACTCACTTGCTATGGTCATCAGTTTCCCAAACATGGCAGAACAGTTAGCTTCTGACTGAAATTTAAAACAGAAACAAAAGAACAACTAGTCATATGTGTTAAGAAATTTCTGTAACAAAAATCAATACTCATTACTGTACATTTTTCATGAAGTTAAAAAAAAAAAGTTCATCACAGTCTGCTCAATGTAAAATGGTTTTACCACATATATACACTAAATTAACAACAAAGAATTACATAGTAGCAACTATTAAGACAAATAGAAGGAAAGGAGATGTTAGGAGGAAGGTACCAAAAAAAACACAAGTATACAACTTTCACATGAAAGTTACATTGCCAGAAGATTGGAAAAAGATCAATGAAGCAATCAACATATAAAATTATCATATCAGAATTACTATGAAACTACATGCCACAAAAAATTAAAAATATAAAGAGGAGAAACTCTTTTTTCTGGAATAGAGTTCTGTTAGCTACTTTGTGGCCCATTACTTAAATAACTTCAGGAAAACCTCCTTTCTAAAATGTACTTCCCTTTCCTCTATCCCATAAAGCATTACTTTATATTTCAAAGTTTGCCAGGCTAGGTGCAGTGTTTCACACCTGTAATCCTAGCAATTTGGGAGTCCTAGGCAAGTGGACTGCATGAGCCCAGGATTTTGAGACCAACCTGGGCAACATGGTGAAAACTCACTTCTACAAAAAACATACAAAACCTATCTGGGTATGGTGAAGCACACCTGTAGTCCCAGCTACTCAGAAGGCTGAGGTGGGAGGATCAGCCCAGTGACATGGAGGCTGCAGTGAGCTGTGACTGTGCCACTATGTGACAGCCTGGGCAACGGACTAAGATCCTGTGTATTTAAGAGAAAAAAAAAAAAAGTTTCCCGCCCCTGTTCCAGCATCCATGTGTCCTTGAGGGGTCTGTATATATGGTCCCCTGGTTAAGAACACCTATTCTAGTAAATACACTTAAAAATGTAAAGTTTTTTTTCCCCACCTTGCAAAAATTTAACGGCATTATTTCTTTTAGTTTGCCACTGGTATATTTATAGGATTGATATCTGAATATTCACTCTACACTGAGAGACCATGAATCAGGCAGTGAAAAAGAAATATGATGTCCAATGTAATTTTATCTTGAAATTTAATTTTAATTATTTGAAAACTGATTAACTATATATAAACTCTTAGTGTCTGAAAACTTTATATAAACTAGAAACCACCATTTCTTTGCTTACACTGGAAAATAAGAGTTTGTTATATTCATTTTAAATGGAAATTTAGCCTGGACAACTACAGAAATTATATTTAACTGATATTTGGAAAATAAAACACCTGAGATACTTTTTCCTTGCTTCATTATGTAGAACTACAGAAAATCTGAACAGTGATATAATAAACTATGAATTTAAACAAATCATGAACCTACTGTAGGCTGCTTGTGCAAATCCAACAGTTCGCGTACATGACTCCGAAGCATGTTCTGACACTTCCACATTTCGTTGAGAGCTCTGTAAAGTTATGAATATGAAAAAATGCATTACATAACAATACTGGAAATTATTCAGCATTACAACCTTTCTTGTTGCATGCTGTATATACACCACTCTTCCACATCTAACTAAAAGTTTAAACACCGGGAAATATATTTATTAGGATTTAAAACAATTTAGTACAAATGGTAAATATAAGCCTTCTTATGAGAGAAAATATTTGATGGGTTTAGAAAGATTAATAGGTAATAAAGAGATTGAAAGATGTACTAAATACAGGTAGCTAGAAAGTTCTGGTACAAGGAAAGAAAATGTCAAAGCATAAGGGACATACAACAAACTGAAAACCATGTATATGCTTGGAGCACAGGGCATGTGTGTGGAGCATAAGGAAGTTGGAGCATTCCACAGACACAGATCAAATCATGAAGGCCTTATTATACAAGCTAAGGTGTATACATGAAGCACTATAGACTATTTTGAAAAATGAAATATCAAAAATGATGCAGATTCAATACGCCAAATTTGCATTATTGTGTTCATTCTAAACGTTTTCTCTCCAGGAACACAGATTTTCTTCTCTCAGAAATACCATCCGTATTTCCAGGTGCCCAGGTGACAGAGCTCTGAGAAATCACTAATCTCTAAGCACTCTTTGTCAGATATTTTGAAATGTAAACAAACATCGAAACCTTGAGCAAGGAAAGGCATTAGTAACCACGATACAACACTATCTTAACAGAACTTCTGCCAAAATGGCAGTCTTTTTTATTTTTATTTTTGAGACAAGTCTCACTCTGTCGCCTAGGCTGGAGTACAATGGGATGATCTCGGCTCACTGCAACATCTGCCTCCTGGGTTCAAGCAATTCTGCTGCCTCAGCCTCCCTAGTAGCTGGGATTACAGGTGTGTACCACCACGCCAGCTAACTTTTTTGTATTTTTAGTAGAGATGGGGTTTCACCATGTTGGCCAGGCTGGTCTCGAACTCCTGACCTCAAATGATCTGCCTGCCTCAGCCTCCCAAAGTGCTGGGATTACAGGGGTTAGCCAACACGCCTGGCCTAAAAATGCAGTCTTAATCTAATAATGCAGGAACACCTGAAGAAGCCACAAGGGCAAACAGTCAAATTCCTAACTCAGAATTCTCTCTTTTTTAAGACAGAGTCTCACTACATTGCCCAGGACAGTCAAACTTCTAGGCTGAAAAGACCCTTCCATCTTGAGATCAGAATTCTTAATGACATCACTCATTTACTTTGTGTATTTTTGACAAAAATTACATATAACATGATGTACAACATAATATATGTATATATTGAAGTGAAATGACCACACATCCTGGTTGGCCTGGGACAGTTTGATTATGCTGGTTATCTGAGCAAAAATACCAATAGTGATCCCTTTCACTCTGAAAATAATCCAGCTGGACCATCAATCATATGGCCATCCTACATAGAGAAGATCTGAATATGTTCACCCAACAAAGAATCAGTATTCAGTTATTAGGCTTAATATTTAGTCTGGAAGGATAAAGCACCAGCAGTTTCAGACACTAGCCACAGGTATTTTGACATGGTCATTTATTGGAACACCTGAAACCATCCTACTACTGACCCAGCTGCCAAACACGCCTTCACATATACGAATAAGAATACTTTTGGCGTTAACTGACCTGAACATAAATCATAATATTTTGTTGATAAATATTTACCTGAGGTTCTTGATTCAACTATAGAAGCAGCAACAACCCAATCAGTAACAATTAATTAGATAAGATGAAGTAGTTTTATGAAATCCTTAGGAAATACAGCAGTTATTTGAAAAGTAACTTACTTTACAGCATTTGGATCCAAACTAGCATATAAGTAATATAAGCATTTCATTCTCTCTTCTGTTTCCAGGTTGTGGGGGACAAGATACTGAGCAAAGATTTTCTCTACCAACAGTCTAGGAAATAACAACAACAAAAACCTAAGTGACACAATTATTCTATTTTTAAGAAGCAATTTTTTTTTTTTTTTTTTTTGAGACAGGGTTCTTGTCGTGTCACCCAGGCTGGAGTACAGTGGTGCGACCTCGGCTCACTGCAACCTCTGCCTCGCAGGTTCAAGCAATTCTCCCACCTCAGCCTCTCCAGTAGCTAGGACTACAGGCATGTGCCACCATGCCCGGCTAATTTTTACATTTTTTGTAGAGACAAGGTGTCCCTATGTTGCTAAGGCTAATCTGGAACTCCTGAGCTCAGGCAATCCACCTGCCTTAGCGTCCCAAAGTGCTGGGATTATGGGCATGAGGCACCGCACCCAGCCAACATTTTAAGTTTTAACCATCTTGTGCCAAGATATCATATCAAGATAATAGCTCTGTGTGCACATACAATGAAAGGTATCAGTTTATAATGACTTCCTTCCTTGGAAAACATTCAGTACAGTTTAACTTCAGAGACATGGCTACTATCCGTGGCTTTATAATTTGTCAGTACGAAACATTTGTTCTAGAAGGTTTAAATGTTATTCCTAAATACAGGGTGCTAGGCTGTTCCACCTACTCTTCAGCAGTCTAGAACAACAGCAAATTCATTAATGTAACATATAAAGCTATGATCCACAGTAGAGCTAATTCTCAAGAAACTCCTTAATTTCCTCTGATTACAGTTCAGCCCATTTCCCATGTTGTCACATAGTTAAAAACAGGGTCCCCCCTGCTTCATATTACTTCCAGAAAATGTAGTTTTTCCTGTGTATATCTGATCATTCTTCTCTCCATAATCTAAATTCCTTACCAATACTGGAATATCCTTCTTGCTAGTGCATATTGCTTGTATCTTCTTGCTTTTATTGTTTAACATCACTGGATTAAAAATATACAAGGTCTCTTAATTAACAAATGAAATATATATCCAGTGATGCCAAAGAAGTTAGCTTAATTAAACAAAACAAAAGAAACTATGCTGCACAAACCAAGTATCATCTGTATGATCCAATACAGAATTACAAGTAATATTCAGAAAATGAAAACAACTTAGTAATTCCTCTATTGGTAGTGGTGTAAAAAGGAAAGTAACTAGTAGTTAATTCAATAGTACTCTCTTGCCACACACTGGGCTAGGATGCTTTACATTCTTTATTTTATTTAATCTACATGATAATCCTATAGGAAAGGCATTATTTTTCCTTTTTATATAAAATTGAAGTGCACAAGAAGTTAATGAACCTCTGTAAGAATACACATCTAATAAAGGGCAGAGTGAACATTTGGTCTCTTAACTCCAAAGTCCATGCCTATTTCACTATTAAAAGGCTACCTTATAATCACGGAGAGAGTCTTGTTTAAACACTGTATATAAAAATACGTAAAAAGTTATCTCTAAACTTAGAAATAAATGACTAATCAAGTTGAATGAACTTAATTTTATTTATGAAGTAAATACATAAAAATAAGAAATTACTAAAATATTAGATATTTTTAAAGTAAAAAGTAGTTTTATACTCAATTATTCTACCAACATATTAAACTCACTTGTCATCAATGCTGTTCTGATAATAAATATGCAAAAGTTTGTCCTTTATCCAGCTGACTTTCTCTGCAGCTTCCTTTCCTGCTTCACCATGAAGACAATATTTCTTATAAAGCTGAGCCAGACCCATCATAGCTTCTTTTCTTACTCGCCACTAAAAAGCATAAAATTTATTAGATGAGAAAGATAACAAAACTCTGTACTAATTTCCAAAGATTGCCTTGGGTTCATTAGGTTGTACAATCTTATGTGTGCCTTTATAAACTGGCACATTATTTCTCTTCATAAAAGGCTTTACAAACAATTTTGAATCTGTTCCTATTTAGAAATTTTCTAATGCAAATATTGCTAATGATCTACTTTTTTCTTTTTAAAGAAATTGGGTTTCGTTACGTTGCCTAGGTTTGTCTCAAATTCCTGGGCTAAATAATCCTCCTGCCTTAGCATCCCGAGTAGCTAGAACTACAGGCTAGTGATTTTTTATTTCCCTTGAAAACCAGTAATAATCTTACGGGAGATTTCATTTGATTCTATTGAAAGAAAATTCACCAAGTTTTAGAGGTGATTATAATTTTCCTTGCAAACAAAACCCCTATTATCTGGAATGTTTTAATTGCCAGTTACATCCCTTTAGATGTTAACTTCGGATAAGAACAAAGTTCACTATCAAGAATTCTGGGCCAGGCACGGTGGCTCACGCCTGTAATCCCAGCACTGTGGAAGGCCAAGGCAGGTGGATCGCTTGAGCTCAGGACTTGGGGAACTGACTACCCAGTGAATCTAAAATCCTAGTAAATCTAAAATTGTAGTGAATCTAGGAGTTGAGTTGGCTGACTACCCAGTCACTCTAAAAATACGCTCACAAGCTGACAAAACCTGCCCACTCACACAGAGCTTCCAATCAGCTGTGCAGGGATTCAGTTAAAAATCTGACCAAGGGTGGGCATGGTGGCTCACACCTGTAATTCTAGCACTTTGGGAGGCTGAGGCGGGCGGATCACCTGAGGTCAGGAGTTCACGACCAGCCTGGTCAACATGGTGAAACCCAGTCTCTCCTAAAAACACTAAAATTAGCTGGGCACGGTGGCACACACCTGTAATTCCAGCTACTTGGGAGGCTGAGGCAGGAAAATCACTTCAGCCTGAGAGGAAGAGGTTGCAGTGAGCCAATATTATACCACTGCACTCAAGCATGGGCGACACAGTGAGACTCTGTCTCAACAAAAAAACAAAAAACAAAAAACTGACCAAATATTCAAGGATCATCAGACCTTTGAGGAACGCTTTCAACAGTAAACGAGAGGGACTAAAACAAACAGGCCAGAAGAGGAAAACAGGACTCAGCAGAAACAGAGATAATACAGGCAGTAGAAGACACTTTCAAATATTCTCAGGGAGATAAGATTTTATACCATAAAATAAGACTCAATTCCTCTGAGGAAGAAAGGAAGGAAGGTAGGGAGAGAGGCAGGGAGAAAAGGAGGGAAGAAAGCAAGGAAGAAGAAAAGGAAGGAAAGGAGGGAAGAAAAAAAGGAAAAGAGGCAGGGAGAAAGGAAGTTAGAAAAATTAACAATTCAACCTGAGGAAAATGATTTAAAAAATAAAAAGAAAAGAAAAAAAAAGGAAAAATTAGATAATGAGAGGTGCTTTTGGAAATTAAAAATGGAGATGAAGTAAAACAACAAAGATAAGAAAATCAAACTATCAGTCCAAGAATTTCAACATCAAATTAAAGAGTTCCCAAAAGAGAGAACAGGCTAACGCCTGTAATCCCAACACTTTGGGAGGTGGAGGTAGAAACAGGTACAGATCCCTTGAGCCCAGAAGTTCGAGACCAGCTTGGGCAACATGGTGAAACCCCGTCTCTACAAAAAATACAAAAATTAACCAAGAGTAGTGGCGCACACCTGTAGTGCCAGCTCCTTGGGAGACTGAGGTGGGAGGATCACTTGAGCCTGGGAAGAGGAGGGTGCAGTGAGCTGAGATTATACTACTGCACTCAAGCCAGGGCAACAAAGTGAGACCCTGTCTCAAAAAAAAAAAAAAAAAAAAAAAAAAAAAAAAAAAGGACGTTAGTGATCACCGTAAGTGAACGCCCTTACCTTGCAAGCCTAAAAGGCAAACGATTTAGCTAGTTAGCAGAAGACTCTTTGGGACTTTTAGAGGTTGGGAAGGTTTAATAGGGTAGGAAAGAAAGGCTGTGAAAGAAGAGACAGGAAAGGAGACCATAAAAACTCAGAATGAGGATCATCATAAGCTGTAAGAAAAATAGTAGTAAAAAAATGTATCTGTGTATTAAAAGAAGAAGAGGAGGAGGAAGAGTAGGAGGAGGAAAAGGAGGAGGATGAGGAAGATGAGGAAGAGGAAGAAGAGGAGGAGGAGGAAAAGGAAGAGGAAGCAGAAGCAGCAGCAGAAGCAGCTGAGTGTGGTGGTGGGTGTCTGCAGTACCAGCTATTCAGGAGAATGAAGCAAGAGGATCACTTGAATCCAAGAGTTCAAGTTCAGCCTGGGTAACATAGCAACACGTCACCTCTAAAAAAGAGAGGTGGGTGGGAGTATGTTATCTTTGGTGTATTTAAGTCAATACTTTCTTATAAATGTTTTGTATCATTTTCTCATTTTTTAGGCCACTTATTAGATGGAATAAAATTTTGTCCCTATATAACAGATTAGCAAAAGCATTTTGACATTTCTTACATGAAATGAAAAAAAAAACACGAGCAATAAAATCTTAAGATGAAATCCTGTTCCCAAATTTCTAGAGACAAAATAATTTTTTTTTTCCAGAAAGGCTATAAAGGTCATCTAACTTATTAAACCAAAATCTGGGTCAGAAAATATCCAGTAGGTGTTACTGTTACCGCATCGTACAGTTTCAGTTAGGAAGATTCATTTATTCAACTTTCTGAAACTATGAAAAAACTGTAATAGTAGTGAAACTTTTTTAAAAGGGGGAAGGGAGGAATGTCAAATAACCACTAGGGGGAGAGTAATTTCATTTAAATTAAAGCCAAGGGAAAAAAAATCTTCAAAGTTAGAATTACTAACACTGTTGAACAAGTTAAAAAGTATCCACCTTTTTTTAAACATCTGGCTCCTATGACAACTTTAAAAGTAAAAACTTAAATAATACCTCTTTCTATATTTTAAAACCAAAACCAATTATTTTTCTACCCTGAAACTACAATAGTCATTTGCAGAGGAAAGTAATTTTTAACTACACCTCAAATAAAATAATAGTATGTTGCAAGGCAATCATGAAACATGTTAGAAAAGTTAGGCCTAATCAGCCTGCCTTACAGGTATGTCTCTTGTTTACACATGACCCTATTCGTTAGTTGTATTCTCAGCACTACTTATCCTTTTCCTTATCAATCCATGTTTTCTTTTTTTTTTTTTGAGATGGAGACTCGTTCTGTTGCACAGGCTGGAGTGCAGTGCCTCAATCTCGGCTCACCGCAAGCTCCGCCTCCCGGGTTCACACCATTCTCCTGCCTCATTCTCCTGCCTCAGCTGGGACTACAGACGCCCGCCACCACGCCTGGCTAATTTTTTGCATTTTTAGTAGAGACGGGATTTCACCGTGTTAGCCAGGATGGTCTCGATCTCCTGACCTCATGATCCACCCGCTTTGGCCTCCCAAAGTGCTGGGATTACAGGCGTGAGCCACCGCGCCCAGCAATCCATATTTTCAACTGCATCAAATGGAGAAAATCACAGGAAAAATAACTAAACATGTAACCATCACTATCGTCCTTAGCTTGGTACATCAATATGTAAACGTCACTTTCTTAGGAAGTGATATTCTTTAGTTCAATGAATGACAGACACAGCTAAATTATACAAGAAAGTCATATGTGAAAACGTTAACTATAAGAATATATGATCAATTGTTATTCTTTCGAAACTCATCATGTAAATAAAAAGGTAAAATTTTGATTAACTTAGTGGTTCTCTTATAAAGGTATGCTAGAAAAGAAACCCATGCTTAAGATCTCAAAAAGTATAGAATCTCATGTATGTACTCATAAGGATAATTAAAAGATATGCAGGAAACATACAAATTAGGAGCTCTTTATCATTGTTATTTGATTTTCACACAGAAAGACATTAAATGTAACAGAAAATGGTACCCAATTGTATTTAGCAATTTAAACAGTAAATTACAGAAGAATAAAATGCCTCAGATTTTACCCGTTTATCCAGTGTTCTTTCCCTTACAAAGCCAAGCAGCTGATCATTTACTAGGGCCAGGTCCCTCTTGGCAGCTGTTATTATAGTAACAATGACATCATGACGAATAGCTTCTTCTGGATCATGTGATCTAACCTTTAAATATTCTGTAATAAGAGAAAAAAACTTAGGCTAAATGTTAGCTGTGTAATTTGTCATGATTTGGAATGGCAAAAAAAGAACAGAAATACGTTAAGTTTTTGTCCATACTAAAGCAATGTTTATAAAATATGAAATGAAATTAAATCATGTTATTTTTACAGCAGCAGTACTCTACTGTAATCACAAAACTGCACTTAAAACTCCAAAGCTGGCCAGGTGTAGTGGCCCACAACTGTAATACCAGCACTTAGGGAGGCTGAGGCAGGCAGGTCACACAAGCTCAAGAGTTCATACCAGCTTATGCAACATGGCAAAACCCCATCTATATGAAAATTACCAAATAAAAAAAACTCATTAGCCAGAAGTGTAGTGGCCTGGCCCTGCAGTGCCAGCTACTTGGGGGGTTAAGGAGGGAGGATCACTTGAGCCCAGTGGTCAAGGCTGCAGTGAGCCAATATCGAGCCACTGCACTCCAGCCTGCATAACAGAGTGAGGCCCTGTTAAATAAAATAAAATAAAATACTTTATAGTTACTTCTTTTTTTTTTTTTTTTTGAAACAGTCTTACTCTGTCACCCAGGCTGGAGTGCAATAGAGTGATCTCGGTGCACTGCAACCTCTGCTGCCCAGGTTCAAGCAATTTTCGTACCTCAGCCTCCGAGTAGCTTAGATTACAGGTATCTGCCACCATGCCTGGCTAATTTTTGTATTTTTAGTAGAGATGGGGTTTCACCATGTTGGCCAGGCTGGTCTTGACCTCCTGGCCTCAAGTGATATACCTGCCTTGGCCTCCCAATGTGCAGGGGATTACACCCGTGAGTCACCACGCCTATAGTTACATTTTAATAATGCATTTTCATCAGTTATCCTGGAAAAGTCAATTCACAATGCAGTATCTGATCTATGTCAGTTTGAATTTCAGTTACAAATTAAAAGGCTTAAAAGAAAAACAGTGAAAATGCTTATGGCAATTTAACTGATAGGTATATACCTGCAAATTACACAATATAAAATCCAGACTATTTTATAATCTCTTTAAAAATTCTTAATTTATAATACAAACTAAATCTAAACAAAAAAATGTTGTTTCCCCTGTGCTTTTTGGTAAATAACAGCCTGTTGATAAAACCACTTATGCGCTGCTACCAAACAGGTAGATTTAAATGCTCTAGATTCAAAAGAATGAAAAATTCTAGTCTAGTGCAGAAGATAATCGTGTTCCCACTTATTATTAAATGCCACTATATTTAATTAAATAGACTTAATGATTTCTACCCAAATCCAATGTCTTAAGAAATACGCTACTTCCTTAAATTATGATTTTCAAAAAATCTCAAAGGATTAAAATATGAAGATTTTAAGCTGGGCATTGTAGCACCTGCCTGTAATACTCGGGATGCCAAAGTGAGAGGTCACCTGAGCCCAGGACTGAAAGCCTTTCTTTTAAACAAACAAATAAATAAAAAGATTTTAAGTGTAATTTTATTACATGAACATGAAATCATTTCCTAGTGTACAACAAATGAAAACCCGAGACCATACTAGAGTAAAAATCTAGCTGGAAAGTGAAGTTAGGTCACAAGCTGTATCTACAAAACAGTTTTATGATTATGCTAATATCTCTAATAAACCAGCTAACTTACCTGTGAGATCCTTCGCTAAATCTGGGTGATTCATTAAACAATGACTGGCAAATTTCACACTTTCTAATCTCACAGGAACATGAATGTCATTAAATCTACATAGAAAAAGATTGCTAAACATTAATTGTAAGGCAAAAAAATTATTCTCAAATCAGGCATATCTAACATGAAAATGCTTATACACAACAATAGTTACTGATTAGATAATTTGTTATGGGCTAAGGTACTCTGGAGGAAGAATATAAAGTACACTACAAGGTGAAACGACACAATTTCACAAAAACATTTTCACAAACAGAATTTCTTTACCATGCTAAAACTAACAAAAAACAGTATAAACAAACACATCCCTCAAACCAAACTATACACTTTATGGAGTTATAATTTGAGAGCTTAATATTATGCTACAAAGTAAAAATATTCAAAACACACAAAATCTTCTTGAAGAATAAGTTTATAGGAGATTCCAGGCACGGTGGCTGACACCTGTAATCACAGCACTTTGGGAGGCAGAGACAGGTAGATTGCTCGTGCCCACGAGTTTAAGACCAGCCTCGCAAACATGGCAAAACCCTGTCTCTATAAATATACAAAAATTAGGCAGGCATGGTGGCATGCCCCTGTAGTCCCAGCTACTACTCAGAAAGCTGAGGTGGGTGGACTGCTTGCACTCACGAGTTCAAGATCAGCCTTGAAAACATAGCAAAGCCCTGTCTCTACAAAAAAACACAAAAATTAGCTGGGCGTCGAGGCACTCCCCTGTAGTCTCAGCTACTCGGGAGGGTGAGGTAGAAGGACTGCTTGAGCCTGGGAGGTCGAGGCTGCAGTGAGCCATAATTGTGCCACTGCACTCCAACCTGGGTAACAGACCCTGTCTCAAAACAAAACAAGACAAAAGGTTTATATGAGACAAACACTGGGGAACCTGAGGTAGAGAGCAAACCATATATAAGGGGCAGATCTGGAAGTTCAAAGATGAGTGCAGAAAATGTGTTACTAGCCCAGGCGTGGTGGCGGGTGCCTGTAATCTCAGCTACTCGGGAGGCCAAGGCAGGAGAATTGCTTGAACCCAGGAGGCAGAGGTTGCGGTGAACAGAGATCACGTCACTGCACTCCAGCCTGGGCGACAAAGGGAGACTCCATCTCAAAAAAAAAAAAAAAATGTGTGTTGCACTGCCTGACGTCAGTTTCTTTTGGCCAGCACCACCTTGTATTACAATGCTCTTTTAAAGGTCTAGTATGTGTACGAATTCAATTAACACGCAACACAATATGTAGACTCAAAAATGCACATGTTAAGGATAAGGTAAGGAACTCTCAAATTTAAAATAGATTATTAGGCAACTTTTAAAATATGCTGATTAATGATAAATAATGTGATCTGAAATAGCTGGAAATATTTTTATTTTTGAAATGATCTCATGAAATAACCAAGTAAAAGAAAGTTGTTTAATAAATGTCTTAATGTCTATGGCCTCCTACTTTCTTACCCAGATATAATTTTCATGTCTTAATAAAATCTTGCATTTAGGATTTATAATTCTCTAGCTGGCAGAGAAAAATTATACATTATTAATGATCAAGTAATTACAAAGTATCAAAACACTTAATTATGGAAAATATGTAAGTTATAATTATGGAAAATAATACTGCAGACTATGAATTGTTTCTATGGATCAGAGACACCACTACAGTTAGCAGTGAGTGTAAAATAATCAGTGTCAGAAACCTACTATGGGTGATTTCATTTTCATAAGAAACCCAAGTAAAAATGAAGCCTTGCATTTTTGCTTAAATTATTTACAAAAAATATTTGATGTCCATCCTGGGATAGGGAATTCCTTCCCCCACAACTTCGAAAGTGCAGTTGCTTCATTCCCACCATTCAAAATTCTGATGGAGTCACATTTAGCTATTCAAATATTTAGCATTTACTCCTATAAGGCCTTCAAAATGGCATGTTCTGGGCAAGTAACTGCTATGATAGCATTATGGCCTTGTCAGAGATTTCTCAGAACCTAGGATTAGTATGAGAACTATTGTGGTGAATTTACATCAAGAAAAATTCTGGCACCAATTTCTGAATCAGTTGAACTAAATAATGGGGAATCTCAAACATCTCCAGAATATTAATAGTAAATATCTACTTTCCAATCAGCTTTAAAAGCAAAACAGGTAAATGGAACGCAAGGAGGAATGTAATGAATTTCATAAATTTGTCAACACTACTACCAAGCCAAATAGAATTCAGTCATTCTAAGCTCTTGAGAAGAAACATTAAAAACTATCTGAGTTAAGGGCAATAATATTTTCCATTTAAAAATTATACAATTATACCAAATTAGTTAAAAAACAGCATACAGTGTGTTCAGATAAGTTACAGACCCAAAAGGCAAGCACTAGTAAATGAAAAAGTTGGTAGGCTGACAAATGGCACAGGTTCTTAAATTCGGATCAGTATGTATTCAGCTTCATGATTTAAAAATCTTAAGACTTAGAATATACTGCAATGCTGTCTATGTATTCTAATTTTCTTTTTTTTTGGAGATGGAGTCTCACTCTGTCACTCAGGCTGGAATGCAGTGGCTCCATCTCAACTCACTGCAACCTCCGCCTCCTGGGTTCAAGGATTCTCCCACCTCAGCCTCTTGACTAGTTGTGGTTACAGGCGCCGGCCACCACCCCCAGTTAATTTTTGTATTTTTAGTAGAGACATCAAGTTGGTCAGGCTGGTTTCCTGAACTCCTGACTTCAAGTGATTTGCCCACCTCAGCCTCCCAAAATGCTGGGATTATAGGTATGAGCCACCAGGCCTGGCCATGACATTATTTTAACAAGAAGTTAAAAAGTATTACACAGATAAAATACTAAGCTTTCTCCATAAAAAATTTTTCCTACAATTTATTCCATAAGAAGGATGGCAACACAGATGACAATGAAACCAACATCTATCAAAGAAAGTTCTGATATGTATAGTTTTAATCAGGTGGACTGCACCCTACTGACTATTTTCCAAAATATAAACATCAGAATTATATGTTCTCTTACCGTCCAAGAAAACATTGCCAAAGAGGACGATTCTGTGTTGCCAAATCGGAATCTTTGGAGCCAAACAATTTAGCTAGAAGTCGAACAACAGCTAATCGCTCTTCTCCATCATTGCTCTAAGAAGGGAAAACAGAAAGTGAAGCTTGAGCTTTATTCATCAGATTACAGAAAATATCTTGAAACATTCTCAAGAAGATACAATTTCATATTTCTGCTTATAACTGTGAGAAGTTTAAAATATCATATGTCCTCATTTACTATGCAGAAATTGATTTGATTTCATGTTAGATCATCTGGGTTTTTGCTCTTATTTCACACCTTCTCAACTGCTAATTTATGTCTACTTCACTGATTAATTGCATTCTATACACTGGTTATGGACATTGTAAATACAGACATATAATTCACTTCTAACATTACGAACCCTATAAAAACGTCTATGAAGGACAAAGCTACAGTTACCACCCTAATAAGCTTACTTTATAGGAAATCTGCAATTTACATTCCAACATAAATACACATCAATTCAAGTTTTGATATACAAAGATTTTTTTTTTTGAGGAGTCTTGCTCTGTCTCCCAAGCTAGAGTGCAGTGGCGCGATCTCAGCTCACCGCAACCTCTGCCTCCCAGATTCAAGAGATTCTCCTGCCTCAGCCTCCTGAATAGCTGGGATTACAGGCGTCCACCACTGCCCCCGGCTAATTTTCACATTTTTAGTAGAGATGGGATTTCACCATCTTGGCCAGGCTGGTCTCAAACTCCTGAACTTGTGACCCACCCGCCTCAGCCTCCCAAAGTGCTGGGATTATGGGAATGAACCACCGCGCCTGGCCGATATACAAAGTTTTAATGAAGAATCCCCTACTGACTGGTGAATACGATACTACAGAATTTCATGATTCGTGGAAACTCATTTTAATAGCAGCCCAAGAATCAAAAAGACGATCTGAAGGTCAACTTAAATACTATAAAAAACAAAACTTCATTGTTTTCTAGTAAGAGTCTCTTATTTTCTTATCCTGAAACAGTATATGCGATAAAAATTCTGTTTCAGTTTCAGTGGTGATGCCATGCTTTAATGTAAAATAAGTTATTCTGAAACCATATGTTGTGTGAAACTTTTCAAAAATCATATTCGCTAGGAAAATAAACACAACATCTAAAAGCAACTGCTAATTTTTTTTTTTAGGTGTTCACATACAATATGTGGCTAAAGCAATACCAGATATCCAATAAACAAAATATTTTTGGCAAAAGAGAAGTAAAAATAGAAAAATAAAGACCACAGGATAAAATATTTTCCTTATGAATGTTTTAACGCTCAAGAACAGGGGTTTTGTGGGTAAAACAGGCACACTTAACCAATGTAAAAATGAAAATTACATCAAGTATTAACTATTTTAATTATAAATGACAAAAATGATTTTTTTAAAAAAAGAGGTAGAGTCTTGTTCTGTTGCCCAGGCTAGAGTACACTGGCATGATCATGGCTCACTGCAGCCTTGAACTCCTGGGCTCAAGTGATCCTCCCACCTTGGCCTCCTGAGTAGCTGGACATACAGGTGTGCATCACCACACCTGGCTAATTTATTTTTCTATAGAGACAGAATCTTACCACGTTGACAAGGTTGGTCTTGAACTCCTAGCCTCAGGCAAGCCTCCCATCTCAGCCTCCCATAATGCTGGGATTATATGGACATGAGGTACCACACCTGGCCTGATTTTCTTTCTCTTTTTTTTTGTGAGACAAGGTCTGGGTCTGGCTCTATCACCCAGGCTGGAGTACAGTGGAGCAACCTCAGTCCACTATAACCTCCACCTTCCAGGCTCAAGCTATCCTCCCACCTCAGCCTCCTGAGTAGCTGGGACTATGGGTGTGTGCCATTATCCTTGGCTAATTTCTGTATTTTTTGTAGAGATGGGTGTCACCATGTTGGTCAAGCTGGTCTCAGACTCCTGGGCTCAAGAGATCTGCCTGCCTCCACCTCCCAAAGTGCTGGGATTACACAGGTATGAGCTACGGCACTTGGCCCAGCCTGATTTTCTTTGACAAAATTTTTCTCAAGCAAGGTGACAATAATGCAGAGTAGCACAACCTTCTAATAAGTTCAGTTTACTAGCCAATATGATTTATTTCTTAAAGAAAAAGTAATCTGTCCCTTAAATATGAAATAATATATGGAAATTTTATTCTAATAGCAAGTAACTATTTTAGTAGATCGGTGATTATTTCAAATGAGGTGACATTTAACATCTATTAACCATAGAAGTAAAACTAACTGAAAACTTGCCCCTCTGCTATTTGTAAAAGTCAAAATACATTCCTTGACCAGACTCAGTGGCTCATGCCTTCTCAGTAATCTGAGGCCAAGACAGGAGAATTGCATTAGGCCAGGAGTTTGAGACCAGCTGGGCAACATATTGAGAACCCCTCTCAACCAAAAAAAAAAATATATATATATATATATAACCAGGAATGGTGAGGTATACCTATAGTCCCAGCTCCTCAAGAGACTGAGACAAGAGGATCACTTGAGCCCAAGACTTCAAGGCAGTATTAAACTTTTACAAATATCAAAGGAGCAAGAATTACAAATTACTTGCTCAGTTGTCTATAAAAAATAGATATACTATTTTTAGGACAGTCAAATTTCTGTCCTTAATCTGTACCATGAAAAGGTCATAAAATTGTAAGCAATACCATATTAGGATTCCATTTAAAATCTTTGGATGTTCTAAAACATATCTACCTAATAATGGATACCATTTAATACCAACATGTACTATACATTTCTAAGATAGGCCGGGAGTGGTGGCTCAAGCCTGTAATCCCAGCACTTTGGGAGGCCGAGGCGAACGGATCACGAAGTCAGGAGATCGAGACCATCCTGGCTAACATGGTGAAACCCCGTCTCTATTAAAAATACAAAAAAAAAGAAATTAGCTGGGCGCGGTGGCGGGCACCTGTAGTCCCAGCTGCTCTGGAGACTGAGGCGGGAGAATGGCGTGAACCTGGGAAGCGGAGCTTGCAGTGAGCCGAGATCACGCCGCTGTACTACAGCCTGGGCAACAGAGCGAGACTCCATCTCAAAAAAAAAAAAAAATTCTAAGATAATACCATTTTTCCTATCTATTGCTTGTGTCACTGTGATTATCAGGAGATATTTAATAATTAGAAGTATTATAATTCTGTGGCCCGGCATGGTGACTCATGCCTGTAATCCCAGCACTTTGGGCAGCCAAGGTGGGCAGATAACAAGGTCAAGAGATTGAGACCAGCCTGGCCAACATGACAAATCCCCGTCTCTACTAAAAATATAAAAATTATATGGGTATGGTGGTGTGCGCCTATAGTCCCAGCTACTCGGGAGGCTGAGGCAGAAGAATCGCTTGAATCCAGGAGGCGAAGGTTGCAGTGGGCCGAGATTGCGCCACTGCACTTCAGCCTGAGCAACAACAGCAAAACTCCATCCAAAAAAAACAAAGAAAAAGATAAATTGAAGTCATACTTTATTCTTCTGCAGTTACCGAAAAATTATGCGGTATACATTTTTCCTGGAAAGTTTAAAGGGCAAGAAAATTGGTCAATTTTACATTGTACTTGCTCTAGAAATAAGAAAAACATGAAAAACAAAATAGAAAAGAAAATTGGTCAATCTTACCTTTAGTTTGAATTCAAGCTGTGGCATGACGGATAATAATAAATGAGGATCTATAGCAAAAAGTTCCTGAATCAGATCAAATACATGTTCTGACAAATCACTTACTGATGATCTTCCCAGCACTAGGACTTGATTGAAAAACTGTAAGAGATATTAAAAACAAAAATAAAACATCCAGTTCACTTAAAAACATGGATACATTTTTATAAACATTTTTATAAACTATATAATTAGGTTTTACACATACAATTGAAGGAGGTGATACAAATACATGTGTGATTACTAATATACAACAGGACAATCATCTAAACAGCGGAAGAAATAATTTCCTAATAATATCAAATCATGAATGTTACAAGGAGAAAAGCAAAAACCAAAATTGGTTTGTTGGGTATATTTCAAATAAGGACTTTTCTAGGAATCTTTGTTTTCATTAAAACAATTTAGACCGTTTGTGTAGTTCATTACAAAGGATTTTAGAAAAATTTCCTTGTAGCAGAGAAATATTACAAAGTCTCAATCTTTGATTTTTTTTTTTCTTTTTTTGAGATGGAGTCTGGCTGTGTTGCTCAGGCTGGAACACAGTGGCGTGATCTCGGCTCACTGCAACTTCCACCTCTGAGATTCAAGCAATTTTCCTGCTTCAGCCCCAGGAACCCGCCACCACGGCCAGCTAATTTTTGTATTTTTAGTAGAGACAAGGATTCCCCATGTTGGCCAGGCTGGTCTCAAACTCCATACCTCAGGTGATCCACAAGCCTTGGCCTCCCAAAGTACTGGGATTACAGGTGTGAGCCACTGCGCCTGGCCTCAACCTTTGACTTTTTAAAAAATCAAAGGTATAGCAGCACACACCTATAATCCCAGTACTTTGGGGAAGCCAAGGCATGACAATCTTGAGCCCAGGAGTTGGAGACCAGCCTGGGCAACACAGTGAGACCCTTGGCTCTACAAAAATTAAAAAATTATCTGGGCATGGTGGTGCATGCCTGTAGCCCCAGCTACTCAGGAGGCCATGGCAGGTGGGATCATTTAAGCCCTAAGAAGTCGAGGTTGCAGTGAGTTGTGATCACATCACTGTACTCCTCCTGCATGGGGGACAGAACGAGACCCTGTTTCAAAAAAAAAAAAAATCAGAATAATGTTTCCATGAGTTTAGTAATAAAGAGTATTTAAAGGGGAAGGATTTTTTGTTGTTGTTGGGTTGGTTCTTTTAATACTCAGAGAAAGTCAAATATGTTTCGGCTTGCATGACAAAAAGAACAAAAAGTTGGTAATACAAAAGCTAACTGATTTTTTTTTTAAAATGCTAGATGGAAATAAAGAGTATACAAGGCCAAGAGCACAGATTAAAAGATACCAGCATTGCACACCATGACCGCCACAAATGCAGAATAATTCAATTTTTAAAATGTCTCAGGGGGCAATTGTACGCAACTGAAACAAGCATACATTTCTGTAGTAACATAATTTGAAAAGCAGTATAAATTAAGAGTTAGAAAATGCTCATTATTGGCCAGGCACAGTGGCTCACACCTGTAATCACAGTACTTTGGGAGGCCGAGGCAGGCAGATTACCTGAGGTCAGGAGTTCAAGACCAGCCTGGCCAACATGGTGAAACCCCATCTCTACTAAAAATATAAAAATTAGCAGGGTGTGGTGGCACACGCCTGCAGTCCAGCCACTCAGAAGGCTGAAGCAGGAGAATCACTTGAGCCTGGGAGGCAGAGGTTGCAGTGAGCTGAAACTGCACCACTGCACTCCAGCCTGGTCAACAAGGTGAGACTCCATCTCCAAAAAAAAAAGAAAAAAAAATCATTCCCATTGCATAAGAATAATACCAAAAAATTCATATTTACTATGCAGACGTTGAAAATAATGAAGAAGACAGTTTTATCAAAATATATGCATACACACACACAAAAAAGCATAGAATACTACTTCTGAAAGGATATAAGAAAACCTATTGGGGATGGTTATTTCTGAGAATTGAGAAATGTATTCAAGGCTGAAGACAGACACTTCTTTAGTACCATTATTGTTTAATCTGTTTAAATATTAATTTAGCAATCCAAGCAATACTAATAGGATAACATTTAAATTAAAAGCCTCTTTGTATTTTTATCCATGGAAAATAATTCAACAACACATAAATGTTAAGATTCACAAAGATGATTAGGAAAGGAAAGAAACACTGAAAAGACCTAAATCTATGACAATAAGGAAATACATATCAAGAAACATTTACAGTCATTCTTATATATTTAAAAAGAATGTCAAAATATGTAAATACAAGTAAGACAATAAAAATTTTACATAAAGTAGCTGGGTGCAGTGGCTCACATCTGTAATCTCAGCACTTTGGGAGGCTCAGGAGGGTAGATCACAGGGTCATGAGATCGAGACCACCCTGGCTAACACGGTGAAACCTTGTCTCTACTAAAAATACAAAAAATTAGCCGAGCATGGTGGCGAGAGCCTGTAGTCCCAGCTACTCGGGAGGCTGAGGCAGGAGAATGGCGTAAACTCGGGAGGTGGAGCTTGCAATGAGCCAAGATTGCACAACTGTACTCCGGCCTCGGGGACAGAGAAAGACTCCGTCTCAAAAAAAAAAAAATTTTTTTTTCATAAACTATGTGGGAAAATAGTTATAAATATGAGCAAATGTACAATGGAATTAGTTGTTATAAGGTAGTGAAATTGCAAACTTTTTTTTCCTAATTATTAACTTTTTTAGTAAAAACAAAAAAACCCAGAACAAATTCCTCAGTACAGTTTTTTTAAACTATTACTATATAGCAACTATCACAATCTTTCATTACTCAAAGTATTTAAATGTTTGCCAAAAACAACAGCCAAAACAACCAATTTTCTAACTAAATCTCTGTAATCTTTTAAAAAAAAAAAAAAAAAGGAAGAAACATTTGAGGACTTCAGAAGAATGACCCAAAAGACACAAAGAAGAAAATATATAAAGAGAGACACAGAGACCCAAGGATAAAGATGTAGAGAAAAAATGAAAGAGATCAGCACACCTGGGAGACAATGAAATAAATATAAATACAAATGCAGATAAGGGGATGGGAGTTGCAGACAACTTTTCTTATAGTAACATCCACCCTTTAAAAACAACATCATGAAGCTTATGCTGCATTTCTCTAACCTTGGTCACATTTGGACATAAGTTCTTCTACATTTATAAGCTAAATAAACTTCTATGTAAGAGGTTCTAATAAATTAGTACAAAGGATTAAGAATTACAAAATATAGAATGAACACAGAAAGAAATACATACATTAGCAATGCATGCCTCAATAGTCTGGACTGTTCTTTTCAATAGCACTTTTGCAAGGTCAAAGGACTGTTTATTTAAGTTCTGAAAAATAATAAAAACATGGAAAGTTACAAATGAATTTGTTAATTTATGAGATAGCAACACTAGAATACTGTAGTCTTCAAATCTGTAATAAAATACGAATTTTTCTTCACTAAAATACGAAGCAAAAATAAAAATAACTGAATTCTCTTCAAGGTTTTGCAAATATCCTCTAGTCAAGTGGTCTTAAATGCAGACGTCGCAAATCAAACTCATTTATTAATCAAAAACTAAAATGGATTAGTTAGCAAAAGCACAACCCTATATTAAGTTTTACTAAACTCAAAATAGACCTAATGCTTTTTGGTTTTTATGTGTTAACCAATGTAAACTGACAACTACACCCATGTATCTTAAACACATACACTCCCCAATCTAACACAACATGCTCAATTATTTCATTGTTTAATCAATGCTTGCTCTGGAGAAGAGTAGACCTGGTAAGTGTTTCAAATAAACAGAGTTACTGATCAATTATATTTTTGAAATGCTGAATAATATGCTTCCGCTTAAAGAGTCCCAATGTACTCAAATAAATTAAAGGATCTGAGAAGGACCTTAGAAAATATATATTTAATTTTTTTTAAATGCCTGAAAAGGGAATTCTTGTTTTGAATAACATCGAGTAACACCGCTATATCTTGAAGTTCTGGACCAAACAGATTCATTCACCACCATCTCACACCTCTTCCAAAATGAGGCTAGGAAACCCTACACTCTAGGCCAGGGGTCGGCAAACTTTTTCTATGAAGGGCCACATGGTAAATATTTTAGGTTTTGTGGGTCATACAAATCACTGCTACAACTACACAACTCTGCTGTTGTAGCATGAAAGCAGATATAAACAAAACGAAAATGAATGAACATGGCTGTGTTCCAATAAAATCTTACTTACACAAATAAGCAATGGTCCAAATTTGACTAACAAGCCATAGCTTCTTGACCCCTGCTCTACACTTTTATTTCACTGGCAAAGGACAAAATTTGCTTAAAATTAAGTTAACATTTCTATTTATTAAAAGAAGTCTATTTCCTACTACTAATAAAAATTCTCTCAAGCCCAGTGTGGTTGCTCATGCCTGTTATCTCAGCACTTTGGGAGGCTAAGGCGGGAGATCGCTTGAGCCCAGGAGTTTGAGATAAGCCTGGGAAACATTGCGAAATCCCGTTTCTACAAAGAAAACTTAAAAAAAAAAAGTCAGGTATGGTGGCACATGCCTGTATTGCCAGCTACTTGGGAGGCTGAGGTAGGAGGATCACTTGAGCACAAGAGACAGAGGCTGCAATGAGGCAAGATTGTGCCGCTGCACTCCAGCCTAGGTGACAGAGTGAGACCCCTTCCCAAAAACATACCACCAACCTACTTACTTAGCATATAAAAACCAAATATACTGTCTTAATCTGCCAAAATATATTCTCCTTTGCCACAGTCTCAGAATTTTATAAACTACATTTGAATAAAATGTAAATAATATTTAGACTCAATAATTTAAAATTAATTATATCTTTCTGTGAATGAGTACATATTTTTCCTCTAATGTCTGATAACAGGTTATTGAACCATTAGAAGAAAAGAGCAGGAGGGCAAATATCAACACTGGGGTAGGCTTGAGTAGAGCCCAGTGGTGGAGCCTGAGGGCAGCCAAGTCCTTCAGATTCTTAGGAGGATCTGGTAGAGATAAATAGAAAAAGGAAATGGGGAAGAATGATACACCTCTGAATCATCCTTTTCTTCTTAACATTAACCATACAGCTTCTGCCCAAATCTTTTTCTGAGAGTACCTAAGAAAAAGGTACGATACGGATTCTGAAAAGAAATCCAAACTCCTATGTGTCACATCTATGTTAATAAGGAGGAAATACATTTCTTTTCCAAACACAATTAACCAAAAAGACAACACCCCTAACCCCTTACAATTCTCAGATTATTTGTGTGAATACGAAACATTTTCAGTTCCGTATTCAATTTCTTGAATGAAACTCTTACATGATATGTTAATCAATATATTTTGTAAAAATAATAGCCACAAGACTAACATATGTTAACCTATTTTATTTGAGGTGGAGAATGGTCATGGGAACAATTACATGGGATTGCAAATGGCCTGAAAACAATTGTTCATTCTTATGTGTAGCATGACTGTTAAATATTAACCTTTAATATCTTCATACTTTACAGACCTTATGTGCAGGAATGAGGTTAATAAGAATGGAGTCCAATAACTCTTGAGTAACTCCATCACCTTCCATGATGATAGAACTCATCAAATCTAGCATGTGCATTTGTACCTTCTTATTGTGGCTATTGCTATAAAAAAAAAAAAAAAAAGAGTAAGTAGGAGGAAGAGGAAAAGAATAAGAGAATTCAAGCTTCCAATAGGAAATTAAACTTCCTAGTTTAAAACAACAATCTCACATGTAAAGGATTTTCACTTGAGGGACAGTGCCAATAACGGCAGAGAAATTTGGGGGGCTCTATTTTCTTTCTCCTTTTGTTGACTATTACAACAGCTGTAAGGTATTGTTGTATTTTATAAAAACAAACACAAACCTAATTTCTAATAAACTATGTTTTCCTCAATTCACATTTTTTTAAAAAAGAAAAAGGCCAGGCACAGTGGCTCGCGCCTGTAATCCCAGCACTTTGGGAGGCCGAGGCGAGTGGATCACCTGACATCAGGAGTTTGAGACCAGCCTGGCCAACATGGTGAAATCTTGTCTTTACAAAAATACAAAAATTAGTGGGGCGTGGTGGCGGGCGCCTGGAATTCCAGCTACTGGGGAGGCTAAGGTGGAAGAATCACTTGAAACTGGGAGGCAGAGTTTGCAGTGAGCAGAGATCATGCCACTGCACTCCAGCCTGGGCGACAGAGTGAGACTCCGTATCAAAAAAAAAAAAGAAAGAAAGAAAAGAAAAGGAAAAGGAAAAAAAAGACCTTTAAAATAAATTAAGTCTCTATACAACTAGGATTCCAAGAGTAAATTAAATTCTGCCTAATAAAAATGTCAATTTTAGCCTGGGCAATGTGGCGAAACCCTGTCTCTACAAAAAAATTAAAAATTGGCCAGGCGTGGTGGTGTGTCCCTATAGCCCCAGCTACTCAGAAGGCTGATATGGGAGGATCACTTGAGCCCAGGAGGTCGAGACATCAGCAAGCCATGATCATGCCACTGCACTCCAGCCTGGGTGACAGACCAAGACCCTGTCTCAAAACACACACACACACACACACACACACACGTCCACTTCAAAGAAAGGACACTTCTGCTTACATGCCCCAGATTTTTAAAGGTGATAAAATTTTAAGGAAACAAACAAAAAGTATGATAATAAAGGCAGCCATTTTTTTCAACTCCCACACCTTAGGTCTTAATCAATTCCTCAAATTAAGATAAAAACCTATTTAAATACCCCCAAATGCATAAGCCAACATAAGCAATTATTGATGTATCCTTGCCACTAGAAGTTTTAATTCACCAATACTGAAAATCAAAAGTTTCATCTAAAATGCTTTCAATACCTAGAAGGTTTTTCTGAAAATGTCATCCTAGTATCTCTCAAAGAATTTCAGACAGACAAATGAAAAATCAATAAAGTATAAACTATAAGGCCAAGAATCAGTTTCAAGTGCTTCCACAGTGAGGCCTGCCCTTTCTTGCTACTTTTGAACCTAGTCAGCATATGAAGAGGCCTGGGCTGACCTCCTGAATGGGTGAGACATGTGACCCAGTTCTATCACTTCAGCCCACCTCAGCCAACAGCCAGGTATCGGCCAGATATCCTGCCAACTGACTACAAACACAGGTGCAAATCCAACCCAAATAAAATCAACTGCCAAGCAGAATCACGAGCTAAATAAAATGGTGGCTGTCTTAAACCATCAAGTTTTAGGTTACTTTGTAATGCAGCAAAAGCTAACAAACACAAAGGTAAGGTTTATATGTTCTATCATTTACTTTAAAGGCTTACTGCTAGTCAAATGCCACAGGAAGTTTTTTCTCATGCTGTCTTTCTACAAGCTTCTATCCTATGCCAAGCTGGAGTGATCCTTTCCTGTTTGTTTCAGGATCATGTCTAATCCTACCATTCCATCTAAGGAAAAAGAAAATACAATACAGTATTCATAAAAATCTCCAGAAAACTCTGGAAATGTGCTGTTCAATATGCAAGCCATTTGCCACATATGGCTGGTGAACATGTGAAACATGACGAGGGCCACATGTTGGAATGAAAATACTTTTGGATACAGTGGAATATATAAAATATATTATCAAAATGAATTTCACTTGTTTTTATTTTCTATTAATGTGACTACTAGAAAACTTATGTGAGATATGTTTATATATAATGTAATGCTCTAGAACACATCTCATAGCAGTACTTGATTTACTATACAAAAAACAAACCAGGCTGGGCATAGGAGCTCACACCTGTAAACCCAGCACTTTGGGAGGCTGAGGTGGGTGGATCACTTGAGGTCAAAAGTTTGAGACCAGCCTGGCCAACAGGGCGAAACTCTGTCTCTACTAAAAATACAAAAATTAGCCGGGTGTGGTGGCACACACCTGTAGTCCCAGCTACTCAGGAGGCTGAGGCAGGAGGATTGCTTGAACCCGGGAGGTGGAAGTTGCAGTGAGCCAAGATGGAACCACTGCACTCCAGCATGGGTGACACAGAGCAAAACACTGTCTCAAAAAAACAAAACAAAACAACCCACACAGAAGAAAACAACAACAACAACAAAAAACCCACACACACAAAAAACAAACCAAACAAAAACAAAAAAACTCACAAACCAAAAAACATGGGCTAAAATCAGAATTTGAGCCTCGTGTTCAGCAACTGGTCCTTGGGCAAGCCACTACACTTCCTGGTTCTGGATTAGTTTCCCTACTTCTATAAAGAGAAGGCCAATTTAGGCAATGTTTAAGACTTTTTTTCTAGGTCTAGAATATGAAGTTGTCAAAGTTAGTGAGCTTAAAGACTGAGCTATTATGTCTCCCAGCACTAATGGTACATACAATATGCATAATTTCTACCTCATAACTTAATACTTCATTGTATTAATGTAAGGTTTCAGAGGATTTGCTTTACAACCATATGTGGTTGCCTCTATTAGATACTAAGTTCCTTCAAAACAAGAGCACCACTTTATACTTCTCTACTGGTCCACAGCCTCCAGGACAGACTGGGGCACTGAAGGGCCAACCAGTAAACTGATAGCATAATTTAAAATGGTAGTAGGTGGTCAAAGGCAGTGTTCGGACAACAGAATTTTTACTTTCCCCTTCATGTTAAGTTTTCTAAGAAAAACAATTCCTTATAACTCTGAAATATCTTAGTGTAGATGTAGAGTATATAACATCTGAATATATAAATCAAGAAAAAGAGACAAGCAGAAATGCTTGAAAAATAACTTACTTGATCACTGAGAAGAGAGTCCTAAAAAGCTGAATAAAAATTTCATTGCAATCTTCCAATTCAAAGCAGATGTTATATGATTTAACCCAAGCTAAATTCTTAAATAAATAAAAATAATTATTGAATTATACATATATAAACAGAATAGTTATATAATAAAAATTCAGTAAAAATTTTTAGTTAGAAACATATTAAAGTCTATAAAGACTCAACATATTAAATTTTAAGTGTTAAATTAATCACATATTCTGACTTGAAAAAGATATATACCTGATGGCATCAATTTTCTCAAACTGAAAAATACTCAATATTTTTAAGTTGGTAGATATATTTACACACAAAATTTAAGAAGCAGTTAAAAAATCTGTTTCTAGAATAGAAAATAATAAAAATAGAAAGATACAAACAAAAGGCATAGCTTCAAATAATCTACAGTTTTTCCATCAGAATATACTTTATCTCTTCAAGATAGGAAGAAAAATAAAATAATATTTTCCTTATGAAATGTAAAAGACATTATAGGCTTTGAACAAAACAAAAAGACTCATTTTACATTACAAAGTTAACATGAAGAATTTTCTATCATGTGAAATAATGTAACAGTTATTAAATAAAGTTTTTGGTTTTTTACCTCTAATAAATAAAAGTATCTATTAAACTGTGGACTCTTCGTATCCTCCAAACCTTTTAACTGTCTGGTAATAAACAAAAATATGTCCTGTTAAAAAAAATAAAACATATTAGACACAAATACTTTTCTTTCACAACACACTAATAGTATGTAAATTTATTATTTGTGTACAAACTACAATAAAGGAAAATTCTCCTTTAGATGAATGTCTTGGGATTGGCCTAGTCTATTATTCAAAATGATTCAAAAGATCCAATCAAATAAAATTATACTCTCTAGAAGCAAAAATACACCACAAATCTTAAGGCTTTCTCTTTCAGAGAGGACCACGGGCTCTGTATCTCATTATATTTTCTTCTACTATCGTGCTTTCACTTCACTATCTCCACCTTGCATAGTGGCAAAAACTATCTTCATTTTAAGGAGTTGGATATGAGTATTTCCATTACTATTTCCTGCAAGTAAACAGTAATTTTTAGCCAATGTTTTGAAGTTGATGTATGACTACGAAGTTGAGTGCGTAAAAAGGCAAAAGACTAGTCCAATGGTACTATGTTTCATGATAGTCTTTCATTTCTTAATAAGCTTTCTTTAGAAGTTTTAACTCACAGTAGTATCAATATAATACAAAATAATTTTAGGACTATTTTTAAAGAAAGCAGCCTACAGGATTAAAATTTGCCAAGAATAAAATTATTCAAAATACCAAATCTCCTCAAGAGATCAATATGAGTTCCACAAACACTTGAACAAAGGCAGAATGACCAAGATGAGCTATAGTTTTGCATGCTGAATAACTTATAGTGGAAAACAGTCATATGAATATGTAAATTCTGGTATGCTATTATTTTTAAAAAGTATCATTAATCTGCTATTTATCCCTGGAACATAGCCATCTGGGCTTTTGTGATGTATTAACCCGAAAATTGGATTTGAGCACACAGGGACTAGTTCTGAACTACACCTTTCTATGCTTCAAATCAAACAACCAACTAACCCAGTTATTTGTGGAAATACTAACTGAATGAATAATTTTGCAACTTATGATATATTCTTAAGATGAAGAGACTAATATGAAACCTATGTTCATAAAGGTAAAATATAAAAATAAAAGTATACCTTCTGAACAGCGGTGAATGAAAAATATAATAAAATGAAAAAGACTGTATTTACCTTAAGTTTATCATGGGAAGTATATGGAGCTTCCGGGGCATAGATACGAAAGATATCAGCCAAACAACATGCTACAAGGAGACGCACATCTTTATTGGGGTTCCTGAGGAAGAATTCAGATGCAAGATGCAAGGCTAGTGGGAGATACTGCTGTTTTTCATCTTCTGAGTCCTGATCCATATCCATAAAAGTTTTCACTACCATCTGTAAAAATGTACAAAAACACAAAAAAATCAACTCCTGGCATTTAGAAATCAGTGGAAGATGTAATTTTTTTAAAAAAAAGTCATTTCCATTAGCAATCAGTGGCCACCAGACAATTCAGTCAACTTTGTATAAATCTTCATTTAAGAATTTCAGAAAAGATCACAAGCATGAAACAGCTAGTCTAAAAAACCCATAAACAAGTATCAACTTCTTAGACACATTATCTGAACTAGCACCTCATTTATGAAGAACTTAAGCCTCTTATTACTCATTTTAAATCTAGCCCAGGTAGTCCCTGGCCCCACGTGGACAATAATATTCATTTGATATTTGGCAACATCATTGACTATGTTTCTTTTATAGTTTATGATTAAAGGTGCATTGTTTAGGCTCCTTAAAATTGCTGTTTCATTGCATGCTTTAATGACTTTTACATTTCACAATAAAAAGTCATTTTCCAGGCTGGACAACATGGCAAGACTCTGTCTCTACAAAAAATACAAAAATTAGCTGGGTATGGTAGCATGTGTCTGTAGTCCCAGCTGCATGGGAGGCTGAGATGGGAGAATCCCTTGAGCTCAGGAGGCGGAGATTGCAGTGCCCCAAGATCATACCACTGCACTCCAGACCAGGTGACAGAGACACTGTCTTTAAAAAAAAAAAAAAAGGCATTTTAGAATAATTTTAATGCAGTTGTATTTCTAATTAAAATATTTAAGTATAATTAACCTGTTGTTATTTATGGTTATAAATTTAACCAACACACACCTTGGAATCATTATAAAATGCAAAGAATCATGAAAAAAATAAAAGAAAAATCCATAATTTATCAACTCCAGAAACTACTATTCACATTTTTGTGTACTTTATGCTGGCCTGTTTTCTCTGTAATTATGCAAATAACCATAATTCTTTATGTACCAAATCACAATAATTTCCCCAGACCTTAAAAATTATTCTCTAATTATAAATCATAGTTTACTTAATCTGTGCGTCTTAAACTGAGTGTCAACTTGATTGGATTGAAGGATACAAAGTACTAATCCTGGGTGTTCCTGTGTGAGTGTTGCCAAAAGAGATTACATTTGAGTCAGCGGGCTGGGGAAGGCAGGTCCACCTTAAGCTGGTGAGCACAATCTAATCAGCTTCCAGTAAATATAAAGTAGGCAGAAAAACGTGAAAAGGGAAAGCGGGACTAGCTTCCCAGCCTACATATTTCTCCCGTGCTGGATGCTTCCTGCCCTCAAACATCAGACTCCAAGTTCTTCCGTTTTGGGACTTGGACTGGCTCTCCTTGCTCCTCAGTTTGCAGACAACCTATCGTGGGGCCTTGTGAATTAACACTTAATAAACTTGGTCATAACATTTTATGTATTATATTTTATTTGCTATTACATTATTTCTATTTATTTGTAATTATATGAAAGAAACTGGCTTATAACTTCTAAAGACAACCGTATCAGGTTTTAGTACTAAATTATACTGGCTTGAAACAAAATAAGCAGTAATCTCTCTTTTTTTCTATTGCAGTATATCAAAAGTGTGCTAGTAAGGCTGGTTTTATTTCTTCCTTAAATAGTTAGGAAAGTATGACTGATAAAAGAAGGAATCATAATGGAAATAAGAGAAAATATTTTGAACTGAATTATAATGTAAATATGAACTACCAAAACTCATAAGATGCACTTACCACTGTACTTAAAGAAAATTTATAATCTTAAATGTGTATTTTACAAAAGAAAGAATGAAAAATCCATCATCTATATTTCCATCTGGAGAAATTAGATAAATCCAAATAAACTAGAACCAGGGTTTGTGAAGCAAAAGATAGAGAAGGGCTGGGTGTGGTGGCTCACACCTGTAATCCTAGCACTTTGGAAGGCCAAGTCAGGAGGACTGCTTGAGCCCAGGAGTTCAAGACAAAGGTCTGGCTCTGCCGCCGGGGCTGGTCAGTAGCACAATCTCAGCTCACTGCAACCTCTACCTCCCAGGTTCAAGAGATCCTTCCACCTCAGCCCCCTGAGCTGCTGGTACTACAGGCACACACCACCGCACCTGGCTAAGTTTTGTACTTCTTTTGTGTGTTTGTAGAGATGGGATTTTGCCATATGTTGCCCAGGCTAAAAAATATTTTTAAATTATTGCTATCTAATAAACTATCCCAAAACTCAGTGCCTTAAAACAATAACATTTATCATATGTAGTTGAAGAATTGGAAAGTGGCTTAGCTAAGTTGTGTGGGCCTGGAATCTCTCAAGAGGCTGTACCTGGTCAAGGCTGCAGTTATCTGAAGGTTTGACTGGGCATGGAGGGTGTGTTTTGAAGGTAACTCATTCTTACGGTTCTAAGTTGACACTGGCTATTGTTGAAAGGCCTCAGTTCCTCACTACATGGGCCTTTCTTGACAGCTCGAGTGAAAAGGCAGTTAGTTGGTTTTCCCCTGGTGCGAGATCCAACAGAGCAAATCTGAAGTGGCAGTCTTTTATGATCTAACCTTGAAAAGCATACATTGTCACTTCTACCACAGCCTGTTGGTTACTCAGGTCAGCCCTGTTCAGTGTTGTACGGAGTAAATACAAGGAAATAAGGATCATTCAGGGCTATCTTGGAGCTATATGATACAATGCCTTCTCATATATATACCTTGTATAGTCTTCTCCCACAATGACTCTGGATTTGGCCATGTGACTTTTTTTTTTTTTAAAGAAAGAGTCTTGCTCTGTCGCCCAGGCTAAACTGCAGGGGCATGATCTTGGTTCACCGCAATCTCTGCCTCCCAGGTTCAAGAGATTCTCTTGCCTCAGCCTCCTGAGTAGCTGGGAACTACAGGTACTCGCCACCACGTCTGGCTAATTTTTGCGTTTTTAGTAGAGACAGGATTTCACCACGTTGGCCAGGCTGGTCGTCAACCTCCCGACCTCAGGTGATCCACCTGCCTCAGCCTTCCCAAATGCTGGAATTACAGGCATGAGCCTCCGTGCCCAGTCCAGGTGACTTATTTTGACCAAAAAGACATTGGTCAGCCTGATGCAAGAACAGGCCTGATAAGCATTTGTACATTGAGACTGCAATGCCCCTATGGGAATGTACCCACCATGCTATTAGGAATCCCAGACTATTCAAAAAACAAGAGGCTGTGTATATCACATAGACTACGTGGAAGAGAACTAAGGTGACCTAATTGAGTTGTCATCTAAATTTAGCCACAAGAGTGGCCCTGTAGAAGCAAAGTGAGCTTCATAAATACACACAATGAAGGGGAGAAAACCTGTGGTGGCTGTGAAGCTCCTGATGCCATGTATGTCAAACTGGTATCTTCCGATGGTCATGAATTTATTATAAAAAGAGAACATGCAGTGCTAAGCGCGGTGAGTCACACCTGTAATCCCAGCATTTTGGGAGGCTGAGGAAGGCGGATCATGAGGTCAGGAGTTCAAGACCAGCCTGGCCAATATGGTGAAACCCCATCTCTACTAAAAATAAAAAAATTAGCCAGGCCTGGTGGTGCGCGCCTGTAATCCTAGCTACTCAGGAGGCTGGGGCAGGAGAATTGCTTGAACCCAGGAGGCGGAGGCTGCAGTAAGCTGAGATCACGCCACTGCACTCCAGCCTGGGCTACAAGAGCAAGACTCCATTTCAAAAAAAAAAAAGAGAGAGAGAGAGAGAGAGAGAACATGCACTAACATGAGGAACAATCAAAAGCCATGTTGAAGCCAAGCACAGTGGCTCATGCCTATAATCCCAGCACTTTGGGAGGCTGAGGTGGGTGGATCACATGAGGTCAGGAGTTCGAGACCATCTTGACCAACATGGTGAAACCCTGTCTCAACCAAAAATACAAAAATTAGCCAGGTATGGTGGTGGGTGCCTGTAGTCCCAGCTACTCGGGATGATGAGGCAAGAGTATCGCTTGAATCTGGCAGGCAGAGATTGCAATAAGCCACAATCGTGCCATTGCACTCCAGCCTGGGTGACAAAAGCAAAACTCTGTCTCAAAATCAAAACCAAAACATGTTGAGTGACCCAGATCAGTTTGCTGAGAATGAAATCATTGAGGGCAATTTTAGAGAGATCTGTTCCTGTGTGCTATCAAAAGTATGTATGTATTATCAAGAATGGTGGCTTGCACTTATAATCTCAGCTACTTGGGAGGCTGACACAAGATGACTGCTTGAGCCCAGAAGTTCTAGGGTGCAGTGAGCTAGGATCATGCCAATGCATTCCAGCCTGGTGACAGAACAAAACGCTATCTCTAGAAAAGTAAGAGTTAAAGTATACATATATTTTACCTACAAGGTTTGCTACACTAACAGTTCCACTGAGATTTCTGAATTCCCAATTGCACTTAATATTGCACTGGAACAGCTGACGGAGACTTCCCAGATTGTTATTAAATTAAAATAAACTGTTAAAAAAAAAAAAAAAGTGAGCCCGGCAGGCACCACATGGAAAAGAAGGACCACAAAGTCTATTGAATAATTGTTTCTTACAATTCTGTGAATAGACTTTGTGGTCCCTTTTAAGCCACTAGATTTTGCTTTACCACACAGGAACACAAATGAAATTCCATTCATTCTTCCCTTTTTTTAAATATGTCGTTCTGTGCACATTTTTAATGTGCTGTACTGAGGCTAAAAACTACATTTCCTAGATTCCCTTGCAATGGAGTTGAAGTCGTAATTCTGGTATAGCCCATCAGAGGCACTTATTCAAGATTTGGAAGGTGAAAGTTCAGAAGAGGTGGTGGTGTAGTTTCTGCTGTTGTCATATGGCAAGTATGGCGTGAGGTGGTGTGTGTGTGTGGGGGGGGGGGGGCATGCACATACACAGCAGCTTTCTACTGACTGGGTGTTAGCACTGTGAAGACAGAGGGAAGAATCACCCATTTTGTGCTGGTACGAATCTATTAAACTGCGTGAGGCTCTGTAGCAAATTATACCAATGGTGACTTCCTAATCACTGGATTACGGCTAAAAGTGTGTCCCTACTTAAGAGCT